CGCCGCCCTCCTCCCCGGCCGCCCTCCTCCCCACTGTCCACCTCCTGGGGCGCCGGTCCCTGGGCTGTCTCCCCCCAGGCTCCTCCTTGGGGGCAGGAGAGCACCTCAAGTGCAGCTCCCGGCTGCCTGCTGGCGGGGGCCAGAGCCAGCAGGCAGGTGCGTGTGCTCCCCTGGCATCGCCTCCTCCCGAGGCCCGTGTCAGGTGACTGACGGGCCCTCAGCGGGGGGTGGGTGCCCTGGGGACAGGGTCCTGGGCCACTGCAGCACTGGCGCCCCCCTGCGACTGTCCCGCCGGCCTGGTGCTGTCTGGGGTCCCCGCGCTCGCTGCCTGCCTCTCCCTCCCTGCCTGTGGTTTTGCGCTCTCCCCGGTGGGCACCAGGTTCCTGGCCTCCGGAGGAGCACTGTGCCTGGGCCCCCCGGCCCCAGCGTCCTGGGTGTGCTCCCCTCCCTGGCGTCTGCTGCCTCTCTGGTGCTGCCTGCTCCTGTTTGCAGACAGCAGGGCCCACGTCAGCAAATGTGCCAGTCTCCCTTCCCAGCCGCCCCCGCAGGCTCTCACTGCAGACTTGGCAGCGCCCACAGCCCTCCCGCCTGCCCTGGCTCTCGGGGCCGCAGAGGCCGCGGCCGCCGCTCCTGCGGTAGCCCGGGCCTGCAGACTGCAGCCAAGGACTGTCTCCCGCCCAGCCTCTGTCCCAGCTCGGCCCCTCCTGCTGGTGGGTTTGGGTGCGGCTGCGTCCTCTGGTCCTCTGGGGACGGGCGTGGCCGCGTCTTGGCCTGGAAGCCCCGGGACCCTGCCCCGCAGCAGAGGACCGGCTTGGCTCTGGCCCCTGGACGGCTCCGCTCCCGCCACGGCTGCTCCGTCCCGCCTTTGCCCGCCTTTGCCCGCCCTCTGGTGCCCACCCTCCCCCAGAGCTGGCCCGCTCACCCCTGTGTCCTTTGCAGGTTTCCCAGCTCATGGCACGCGAGGAGCTCCCCCCGGGGGCCCCGGAGCTCCCCCAGGACGGCCCCCCTCGACGCCTCTCCCTGCCCGGCCAGCTGGGGGCCTTCACCTCCCAGCCCCTGCACAGACACGGCTCAGACCCGGGTAGTTAGTGGGGCTGCAAGCGCGGACACGTGGCTCCCCAGAGTCCAGCACACTGCCTGGCCCCCGCAGGCCCTGCCCAGGAGGCCCCGGCCAGGAGGGTGCGGGCAGGCGGCGCCCCTCCCCCGCCTGGGGAGCCTCCTCTGCAGGCCCGCGTGGGAGGGCAGGGGCAGGGCCGGAGGGGGGGTCTGTGGCCCCCCCACTGCCCTGGGGGCATTAGCTGGTCTAACTGCCCGAGGCACCGGCCCTGGGCCTTAGGCACCTCAAGGACTTTTCTGCTATTTACTGCTCTTATGTTAAGGATAATAATTAAGGATCATATGAATAACTAATGAAGATGCTGATGACTATGAATAATAAATAATTATCCTGAGGCGTCTGCTCTGGGCCTGGGAGGGTAGGGACACCGCTCGCCCGCGCTCACGTGCTGCCAGAATCTGGGGCATCTGTGCAGCTGGTGCCCCGCGTCTGGGTGGGGTGCCCTGGGCCCCTCGGGGCGCCCGCGTCTGGGTGGGGAGCCCTGGGCCTCCCCGCGGGCCCCCCTCCACGGGCCTCTGGGCTCAGAAGCACCTGCCCGGCCTGCTGATGGAGCTGTCCCGCGGGACTGGGCCCGGCGCCCTCCTGAGTGTGCTCCGGAGCGCCCCCGCCCCCCCACCC